AGTCAAGAAACAAAAGACCAACTATTCAGCGATACTACTGTAGCCGAAATAATTTATGATTTTGGCTCAAAATTGAATATTGATGGCCTTAAATCTGGGCATATATGGCTGAAAAACGTCGGACGGTGATAGTCTGGCTAAGCTTCGACAACACAAGCCGGCCGGAAAATTCGAAATGTTAGAGCTCAGTGATCTGGAGGGCTTTGAGCCCGAGCTTTGCGAATTTTTAGACGCCGAGACCGCGATATTACAAATCGATACCTGGAATAACCTATATGGGTGCTTGGCCCTGAAGCATCCAGTAATGGATATTATCGAATACTGTGATCAAGATGAAGCTGTCGAAATTTTTGGAGATGTGCTGGTGGGAGAGTGGTTGGCCGGAGAGCGCGAGATAGAGAGTGTGGTGGTGGCGTGTAATCACCAGAATCCGGATGTGGCTCCGAGAGAATGGGAACGAACGTATACGAGGGATGATGGAAAGCGGTTAGAGGAAACTGTTCATGGGGAGTTTTACATATGGAAGTTGATTGTTTGATTTGGTTTTTGCAATCTTTGATGATTTGCTCTCTTCCTCCCTCCCTCTCTCTCTCTCTCTCCCTTCAAATTTTTGATGCATGAATTTGATCCAAAGCCGTCCGGTGAAGCCATTTTCCTGTAATTTTACGAATTATTTGTGTGGTTCGTAACGTGAATCTCAATCTCCGAAATAAAGATCTTCGTATTGATCAAATTTAAGGGTATCGCACTTACAAAACAAAAATGCATAAAAGAAAATGGAAACTAAAAAATTAGCCAAGAGAGCTAGACCAAAAAAAATTAGCCTAAATCTAAGACTCAGAGATGTGTGTGAGTGAGTGAGAATGAGAGAGATAGAGTGAGAATGAGAGAGAGCAATGCCTAGTGACAGAGAGAGACAGGCTTGAAAAGCCCACTTGCTGGCTTGTGGCCAAGTGTAAAAAGCAGCTGGTAGACAAACGTCTGCTGGGATCCGGGGATGCCCATCTTAACGATTTTTAGTGTTTCGCCTTCAGCGGCTATTTTTAGAAATATCTTATCATCTAAAGCATAATCGAAATCAAAACAAAATCCGTTTCAGAAAATGAAACTTCTCAACCTCCCCGCACCCGCTCACGACCGGATTCTGAATTTTTTGGATCTACGATCGCTATCAAGATTTTCGAGGTCATCAAAAATGGCTCGACGAGTCGTGGAGAATTCCGCAAGGATCTATCTGGATATTTTATTTGCCGCAAGTTCCAAAGATACCTTCACGATTTTCGAGAAGATTAACGACCAGTTGGTTTTGCACCATTCTTGGAGGGGGAATGCAATGGATTTCCTTGCCCGGAAGATTATAGTGGACGAGATTGAACTTCACGATGACGATATACCGCCAGTGAAAGCTCTTGCCGTCCATTTCAAGAGAAAGTCTCAACGTAGGCTGGAGATTTTCAAAAAATTAAAATGGGAAGCCAAGTTCCAGTGTCTAAAATTTCATCATCTGTCGTTGACTCCAGAGCTTGCAGCCTATTTGAACGGGGTTCTTTAGGATTCCCGGGGGGGGGAAAGTATTCCCGGGGGAAACCAAATTTTTTTCGGCGAAAGCCTAGATTTTTGTATAAATTGCGGATGCGTTTCTAAATTGTTTTTAACTATTCCTGTGCATAAAAACTACACACATTTTAACCAAAAAAAATGTAAAAAATTAAAAATTAGGTCGAAAAATAGACCCAAAATGACCAAATTTTCGACTTTTTCAAACATTTTTCTAAATTTTTCTGAAAGTTATTCTGCTTTAAATATAGTTAAAACTTACTAAAAACAATTCGAAAACACTTTATATTTGATTACTAGGTCAACCGGGACCACCAGGAAAAAAATTGGTTTCCCCGGGAATACTTTCCCCCGGGAATCCTAAAGAACCTTGAACGGTAATACGGAGCGTATCGTACTCTACATAGAAGAAGACTTAATCGGATGTCTTTCTCTAAAATTACGCAAAATAACGATCCATCTGGTCCACGGAAGCTCGATCTCAATCAAAGAATTTTCGACTCGGATTCTGGAAGAATGGCAGAGCGGACAGCGCAACATTTTGGAAGTTAAAATCATCGATTTTTCCAAGGAGTGGTCGGATAGGACGTTGGCCTATAGGCGACAATATGGAGGCGTTCCATATGAGATTTGGAATTGAAGCTCGGTGACCTGGACCACGGATCCACGACGGAAGGATGTAACAAAGGACTTCCACCTGAATTCGGAATAAATTTGCTTGCAAGTTGTCAACGAAAACATCGCAATCAATCAAAATCACATCTGAAATATCATTTCGTCGAAAATCATCCCTGTCAACGTTTAATTTTGTCGAAATTTCGAATTGCAGAAGTATCAATTTGTTGGGATTTTAATGCCATTTGCGCTTCAAGGAAATTTTGAAAATCCAAATTTGAGCGCCATGATATTGCGACAGAATGTGATTTCAACAAAATGAAAAATGAAATTTCAGCCAAAGTATTTTCGACAAACTCATAGCAAATCGTTTTTGATCTGTATCTTCGTAAAATAATGATGTGGTGCTGAGGTGGAAATTCGTAAAGATTTATGTCTGCAGAAAACGAGATTATGCGCAAAATGACAACAATTGGAAATTTTTAACTTCTTCCCTCGCTCCTCGACAGCCGTTCCATCAGCCCATCAACCTCATCGCTCAGGAAGCGATTCTGCGTGCTCAGCTCGCCAATGTGAGTGAAGAACTAAACGAAAGTCACGAAAATTAGCGACAACTTACCTTCTCCTGTTTCCGCTTCAGCTCTCGGTTTTCGCAGAGCAGCTGTTCGTGCGCTTCGTTGCCCCGATTTTGCTGCAACGCATCGGCAATGGCCTAAAATGAATGAATACGCTTTAAAACTCTGAAACTACCAAGCGTTGCTTCAAATCCTCAATTTCAGCTTCTTTTTCGGCCAGCTTTCCTCGCAATTGTTTGCACTCCTCGCAAGGTCGCAAATCCTGGAATGAAATTTCATTAAGATACCGCGGAAAATATAAACCTTTATTATCTCTGGCTTGACGTCTTCATGAGAAGTCGTCGGAACGTCATACAATTCTTGCAACTGCGGAAATAGAGGCTGTGGGAACGCTAAAAAATTAGGATTAAATTTCGAGCTTGTCAACCTACCCATCGGCGGATCTTGCATCCCGGAAGGCATTGTGTATTCACATCGGAATCCGGCGATTTCGATACTTCGCTTTACGCCCGGCATCTCGGCATCGGAACCCTGTAAAATTTTAACTATCACAGGTGTAACTAAATTTCACCCACCTCCTCACGCTTCTTCCGCTTTCTGGCTGCAGCGGCGGCATTCCGTTCACGAATCCCTTGTACAATTTTTTCATCCGGGGTTAACGGTGCCGGTGGTCGTGGGATTACTACGTCGCCTTCTCTCGGAATGAAGCTCTTGGAAAAATGTTCGGCGATATCGGGCGTGATATCAAAGAGTTCAATCATTTTGGCCTTCAGATCCTTGTACAGCTCCATGCTCCTGAAAATTGGCGTATACCGCTTGTCAATAACTACAAAAACCTCGAAAATATCGCCCAGCATGATGTCATGTCAAAATTAAAATGAAACGCACCTATCAATAACTAGGTGATCCGCACACCTATGGTCTGGGCATTTTCGCGAAGAAATGCCGACGTGCTGCTTGGCCTGATGGTTGCACACTAAAACGTGAACTTTGGACGTTTTTCGTTAATAAATCTTATTATTAGAAACTCTATAACGTTAATTTCCAGACCTGTACAACGATATGGCCTCCAGTTCATGTGCAAAAATGCGTGCAGTCCGAGGCTTCGAGAAATCTTATACTTCCCGAAATTCGTCTGTATCGGCCGACCACAAAACTGAAAGAATAAGTTTAATAAAGACTGAGCAACAAAAAACTCTGTTTAAAATAAAACCCACATTGCAATTCATAAAATCCGCGTCAACGACAACCTTCTTTCTAGTTTTTCTCGGCGTGCGCGAAGTAGATGGATTTAGGCTTTGTTCTCGGCTCGAATTATCCTATACCCAATGATAAACATTCAAAAGCGAAAAGACCAACCGTATCTGGTTCGAAGAGCGGTTGAATGTCTCCTCCCGCCGTCCAGTGGCCCTAAATTTTGTGATAAAATTCAAAAAATAGTAAAAACTAACCGGATTGAGTCCAAGCGCCATGTCCATTTTCCTCATCAGCGAAGCTGGGTCACTAGTCTCTGGCTCATCATCAAAGTCCTCATCCGGTATCTCGAAGGGGTTATCGCTAAAATTTGAAAGCTTAATAGAGGGATAGTTGCTTACGATGAGCCTGGAGTATCTGGAACTTCTTCTTTGACTTGTCGGGTTGATTTTCTCATTCCGGTAGGTCGTGGAGACGGCCTGCAGAAATTTTTTATAGGAAAAATAAAATAAAGTAAAAAGTAAATAAAGAGGAAATAAGTGTTTTTACAACAAATATGAATAACTTTTTCAGTAAATCGCCGCAACAAGCTCATTTAAATGGGGAACTGGCGCCTTGCTCGGGCACCTTCTGGTTGCTCAAAATGTGCCCCATTGCGCGTACCTGCCCCCGAAATTGCCTCCCGGTCAAAGGGGGAGGATTTGCTAGCGTGCATATATCTAACTAAAGAGGTAATGTCTTGAACAACGGCAAAGAATACAGCTGAAGGACAAAAATATCTAATTAATATTTGATCCAATGTTTTAGTGAACAAATTCAGGAAAAATGTTACACAAAAAGCGACAGATAATCGGAGTTAGTTGATATGATTTTGAAAGTTGGTCACGATGGCCGAACATCTGCGTTGTCCGAGTTGCGTCAGAGTGCACCATGTGCGCATTAATAAAGCGCGGTACCTGCCGCTGGAGGCAAGTAAGCCAAAAGCTTATGCTCTGACGGAAGACGAAAGAATTCTCGTAAAGGTTACGGTTAAACAATGATAAATCTAGTAGATGCCGCGTTGTATTGGACAACCATTTGGACCGGCGTTCTTCGTAAATTTGATTTCGCCATTACATAACTTGGCACTGTTGTCAAAATTTTAAGTCCATTGTAGTCGTTGCTTCAAACTCGTTTTCGGGTCATGCAGTACAAACGCTGCGAGACTCTAGCATGACGCGTCGCTTCCGCATCCGCTTTGTTGACTGACGCAAGCCAATCAAAAATCAATGGGGTGTCTTTGATGGTGAGGCCGTGAGCGTCGGCGATGCAATATGCAAACGATCAAAGTACCGTTGTAATGGGATGCGATATTGTGCAGACCGTGCTCGAAGCGCGTCCAAGACTTGAAAAGTACGGAAAGAAATTGATATATAACAGGGGTAGTCTAGACTCGAGAAGGAACCCTCTGGGTTTTATAGAGCTGTTCAGTACAAAGATTTCCTTTCAAACCCAGTTTGAATTACATGTTTTCTGATAGTACACCAGAATCCTCGGATACTAAACGTTGCTTGTCAACGGCGCTCCACGCGCATGATAAATTAAAAAATATTTTTTTTGTGAAAACATTCCCTCCTTTGCAACGGCTCAAAATTTCGATCTAATTCAGCGCTTGCTTTCAGCGTTCACTGTTTTTTCCGGATGATATTCAAGGCCCTCACCTCCGCCCTGTTGATCGGCTCGGTGCTAACCTGCCCACCGGCCGATTCTTCATCATCGGGGAATGGGGCTGTACCAGCCTCCGGAAGTAATCATTGCTCATTTAAACATTCAATTTTTAGGACTGGTAAGCCACGGGCAGCTGATTTACACCTTCCACCCAGCAGTGAAGTATAAGTTGATGTCTAGTGAACCAACGGCCAAATCGGATGTTCAAAAGGCGGTTAGTTGGTATCCACCTCACTATAAATTGGATAAGCGAGAAAAACCAAAAACCGGCTTATCTCTGTCTTGAAACTTTTGAAACACAGACACCTACGTAAACGGATCAGTAAACCGGTTCTAGCTTTTTTGCAACTGCTTATCATTTAGGTATCGGCTGCCCTTAAAAGCCGCCAAATAACGCTGGCCGACGACGCCGAAATCGATTTTTCGAATTTATTTTCGATAGATATGGAGCTGAACAAGGACTGTACCAATACAGTGACGGACAAACAGTATGATGAAGATAGCAACAGTCAATATTTTACTAAACCCTGTTCAGCCGGGGTTTCTTGGCCGCCAGCCGGTAATACCATTTCATTCAAACAACGTCATAAAATTGCAGTGACCATAAAATTCGAACTTCCGCGTGCCTACCCGGTTTCCGATGTTGAGAAGGCTATTGACGAGGTAGGGGTTTTTCTCTCTTAGGGAGGCCATTTAGGTAAAAACTGAGCTCAAAGAAGAAATGGACGATTTGAAACTACTGTTCGAAGCCTACTATTGACCGGCCAATAAGAAATGGGGGACTATTTAAGTATGTGGTGAATTCTGAATAAATTTTTGCGAGCTAGGCTGCGTTCCTGAACAAAAGCACACATCGATCCCGAAAGGTCAGTCGGCATCTTGACTGAACGCTTCCTCCCACGCAATCTTCCGCATTCGTTTTGTTGACTGACGCAAGCCCATCAAAAATCATTGGGGTGTCCTTGAAGATGAAGCCGTGAGCGTCGGCGATGCAATATGCAAACGATTAAATGCCGTTTTAATGGGACGACGGTATTGTGCCGACTTTGCTTGTCCGGCGTTCAGGATATCAAAGGAAGAGGAAAGTTGGTATATATAAGCACACCCCCAACGATTTGGCACATTAGCCATTTCCAACTAACTTATCGTGTAACACGCTTGCCCTGTTTCCCCATGCCTTCACATTTCAGATGACGCGCATGTTCCTTACTTCCGTTGTTATCCTCGTAGGTTCGGTCTTCTGCTTCCCACCTGCAGATTCCACATCATCAGGAAATGCTGCTGTACCAGCGTTTGGAAGTAAGGACATTCCTGTGAAAATAAGTTTTAGGATTTGTGAGTAATGGGGAGCTTCTTTTCACATTCCATCCGGCGATCAAGTATGCAGAGCCGTCCAGCAAATCCACTGCAGAATCGGCATTTAAAAGAGCGGTAAGTTGCAGTTGACAAGGAAGCAGGGCCCAAATTTCAGGTGTCGGCGGCTCTTAAGAAACACCAAATAACCGTGAATGATGACACAGATGTAACGTTTATTAATATGTTCGTGGAGTCGATGGTCAAAACCACTGATGCCGCCCCGACCGAATGTGAAGCTAGCCCTAAACCCGCGACATATACCCAGGATGCTAGCCACAAGTACTGGGTTAAACCATGTCATGCGGTTTCGTGGCCACCAGCAGGTATGATTATGGCGCCTGACGATATTTTTCTAGTTTTCATCAAATTCATGCTACCACGAGGCTACCCGCTGTCCGGCGTGCAGAGGGCCGTTGACGATGTGGGTTCCCCCTATGGTGCCCTTATGGCCAGCCGATGTTGTTGAAAATTTCATGATTTCCAGATCAAAGAAGAGCTGAAAGACGAGATGGAAATCGTTGACGAGCTGACCAGAAGCATACTATTGAACCACCAATGAACAATGGTATGTTTGAGGCCATTACGCGATTTGTCGAAAATAAATATTGTTGCTTGCATTTTCATCACTTAGAAGCCGGGAGAAGAAGCCAGAAAGTGGAAGAAAAAGCTGGTACAGCGTCGCAAAGAGCACAAACCTTGGTCAGAATGTCTGGGGCGTCAGTTACAATGGTTTTTTACTTAACAAAAATTGCCTGACTGAAAGACATCGATCCTGGTAAGCTGGATTCTAAAACTGAAAGTCATCGATCTTGGTAAGCTGGATTCTAAAAGTCTTCGGAACGCTTCCAACCGACGCCTTTTTGACACAGGCCGCTTTGTCTGAACCAAGATTTGTGGCCTAAAGAACGATTTTTATGCGATCCAATTGTTGCCACAGCACCATGAAATACGCGTGAACATTGTGAGTGTTTGTATGGATTCGCGATTGGCTCAAAAAGTTTATTCCATGTTTAGATAAAAGAAGAGCTCAAAGGCGACATGCAAATCGTCACAATTTTGCCAGAAGTATTTTCTTAACTGCCTTTGCGAATTTTCGACTAAAGGTGTTGATTGCTGCGAGTGGTTTTGGAGATCATAAAAAGCTCGCAAATGGAGATAGAATGTGAGGAAGAAAGAGAGAGAGGGCGAGAGATATAGAGAGGGACGGAGGGCATGATATCGAGACAAACCAAAGAGACAGTGAGAAAGATGGAAATATATTCATTCAACTGGCATCAGGGAAAAGGAGAATTAGAATAGTAGGTTCATGTACATCTGTTAAAATCACTGAAAAGCAAGCTATAGAGAGATAGATAGAGAGATAGAGAGAGCGCGAGAGAGAGAGAGAGAGGGCGAGAGAGAAGGAGAGAGCGAAAGAGAACTAGTTACAAAAGCAGAGCCTTGTCATAGTATCCGTAGTCTATCTGACGAGTTTTCCCTCCTGGTACTCGACATCCGAGCGGCTGGTCAGGCTGTGGCCAACGGTCTCCAGGGCCAGTTGGCGGTCCCTAGATTTTAATTTAAAAGCCAAAAAAGGTAAAAAAATACCTGACAAATTTGTAGTAGTTGAGGGTGATCCATCCGCGGAGGAACAGGAAGATCAGGGCCCCAACGGCGATGCTGACGGTGTCTGAAAAATTAAATGAAGACATATTTCGGTTTTTTGACGTTTTCAAAACGATTGTTAAGGCTCAAAAACTCACATCGAACTTGTTTGGGCGAATGCGGATCCTCGTTGGCGCGTGGGAAATCGGTGGCCTTACTAAAAAAACGCGAAAATTACAGAAAATCGAAAGATACAGTACCCCTCAGTGTCGGACAGGTAGATGAAGGTGTAGGTGAGGATTGAGAGGGTGAGGAGCACCAGTTGGACGATCTTAAGAGCGATGTAAAAGTTTAATCAGGATTTTCTTACGTATGCCACTCCGTAGGCCTGCATGAACATGGGCTTCTGTGTGATGAGGGCCATGATTCCGAGGAACATGATCGGGAGGCAGAAAGCGAAGATCATTGCCTAAAATATATTACTATTAAGTCATGCAAAATCAATTAGATAAACTTTGAAAGCGTCAAAAGCCTTAAATTTAAAACCTACAGTAGGCAGGCGGGCATCGGGGGTTCCGAGGATCACGGAGAGGATTAAAAAGGCAAGGAAGACGGCATCAAGGATGAGGAAGACGGCGAAACCGATCTAAAAGCGTATATAACGACTTCTAGATTTTACGACATCTTTTTTATGTTGAAATTGGCCTATTACATACCTTGGCCTTGCCGAGCTTGCAGCAGCAATGGTAGTTCTCCTCGCGGATCGGCGTGCGAGGGTGGATGTGCGTCGGATGCCAGCACCACATGATTGTTGATTGTTAGCTGCAAGAGAATATTATTAAAAAAATAGCTAGATCTAATACGGCGGTAGAAAGAGAAAACAGAGAAAAGCATAAATGTGTAGAATGTAATGTAGAAAAAAGCGAGTTCAACGCGTTCAGAGCAAGTTAAATAGGATGGTTCGAAAAATAAATAAAACTAAAACTCCCCTTTGTCCGATCTCATTAATAAAAATTACCTTTCGATTCCTAGACGCTAAAGCTATACTAAACATCTTAAAAACAAAGTTTTTTTTCCATGAGCGAGCCATAAACCAGCCATCAACTTTATGATCCCACAAATTTCAAGTATTTTAGGAAACATTAAAGAGATCAAGACAGCTTTAGCCGCCAGAAACCGGAGATTCGCCGGATCGGACCGGCCTTATATAGGCGGGCCCCGGCTGGCTTGTTGGGCCCTGCCCCTCCGATGCACTTTTGTTGTTTTTTTCCTGAGCCGGCTAGCCGATGGCATGGCATTGGGGACAACATGCCCTTTCCCTCTCGCGGCTGGGCTTTGGCCACTTCCAGACTCCCCTTTTGAAGGGAGAGCTGTGGAAAGACAGGTAAGCTTGTTGTTTTTAATGTTGCAGAAAGGGGGTGGAAAAGGTGGGCCTAGGTCAAATAGAGCGCGAATGTTGGCACAGGTGCGAAAATACGCTTTAGGCGGGTTCTAAACGGCGAAAATAGCCGAATTTCAGCAATTTCAAGGTGTTGCTCGCGCTCATGCTCACTCCCGCTTCTTACGGTCTCCGAACCCAGAAACACAAGAATACGAAAATGCAGAAAACTAGCCTAGCTAAAAAATAATTTTTTCAGATTAGAAGGTTATATTTTCATAAACCCTAGATGCTATTGGGGACAATTTACAGGAGTCTAAAATTTGCAGTTTTACCACCATATATCCCCATGATTTTTAAAATTTGGTTGGATTAAAATATGATTCGAAACGTTCCGAGAGAGAAAATTGTTCTACATTTCGTGGCGATCAAGACTATTTATTTAAATTTATTTAAAACCAAGCCGGGTGCATGAAATTAATTTCGGACAATCTAGCCTTCTGGTAAAGCATACAAGTTCAAAAAGCTGCAAAAAAAATCATCTGAAAGCCCTGAAACGATCTCCGAAATCTTCTCCAGACCATCGGGGTCTTATATGCTAGCCCCAGGTAGTGCATTCTAGCCGTCAACATGCACTTATGCGCGTGTTTTCCGATCCCTCATACCCAGGCAACCCAGTTGGCTCCGCGCCTTTTCTCCCTCACATATTTACCCCGGTGCACTCCTCTTTCCATCCCCTCTCTTTTGCGATCTATTTACAACAACGGCGTGAACAAGATGAACCAAGAA